CGTCGCAAGTTGGTGGAAAGAGGAAGAAATATCAGAGAAAAGAATCTAAAGAATCAAGAAGCAAAGAACAATGCTTAAAAAAGCTGGTGAATCTGCACTGCAAATGTGCACTTTCTATCTTTTTCTCGGGTGCCACCTGTGCCTCCCACAGTATCCAGCTCAGCAGCTTCTGTTGGCCACCAGGTCGAAGCAGTCGCAGTGCAATGCGAAGCCAAAGCCAACCTGCCCTGTGCACCGCAGGATCCCACAAGGATGGTAAGGGATCCAAGGGTTCGGAAAGGCCACTAATAATACATAATTGACTAAGTGATATATACACAATATATATATATATATAGCTAGCTACCACATTATACAGTACACAATAGCACATAATCAATCATACATCATCAGTCATCTTCTTCATACTATGTCATTTTTCAAGTGCCAAGGCTCGGATCGGCAGTGAGCAAAACAGCGGCTCACAGCGGCCAGATTCATCCTCGCCCACCTTGGAAAGCGGTCCGCAACACCAACCGGATCCAACGGGTGTACGTTTTTGATCGTGTTTAAGGCTTTGCCATACGTTTCCTTCATGAAAGGCTACTTAAGTAATGAATTACACTACACCTAATAATATTACTCAATAATATTCAATAATTATCAGCTAACTTTAAATTCCAGCATCCTCCAGCTTCACCCAACTCCAACAAAACGCTGGACCCTCAATAAAGTTTGCACTCGCAAGCCTAGCAGCTGGAAAGGCCAAAACCAGTTCTGCCGTGGCTGTACCAGCAGCGCCTAGCAACCACAGCTTGCCGCGTGAGGCTGCGTGCAAAGCTTTCAGCAACTGATCCATAGTGTCGTATAGTGTCGCCACAAAATACCAGGGAGCATCGGAAAACGGCCCCGTGCCATACCCATATCACGCCATTCTCTTCCGAGCCACTTGATTCAACTGTGGCTTTGTGGCGGTAAACCACGTAGCGATGCTCGTGCTTTGAAGCATCACCCAGCTGCTCCATCACCACCTCAGTCTACAAATGTCACCACTGGACACCAGTCTTGAAGCGAAGAGGTTGCACCCTCCTGAGACGTTGACGGAGACAGATCTCGCTTGCTGTGACCTGAGAGAATGTCAACAATGGTGGTCGCAACACCGGTGTTCTTCCAGGTGCTGACTGTGCTGACTGTGCTGATCCATCATTTATATTATCCCTCAACCACACTATGAGATCTATGAGACTGCACAGTCATCAGACATGAAAATCATCCAAATCCCATCCCACGCCATCCAAGACGCTCTGCAAAGACTTGGCCGCTACGCCGCAATAGCCTGGGGCTTCAGTCATCTTGAGCCTCGCCCCAACAAAGATAGCTGGGGTTCCGCAACCTCTCAAAATGAACAATCAAACAGTGGAATGAGATCATTTTGGATAGTTTTTTATGATAATTGTGGATATTGTGATTTATTGTGGGGGTTGCCAATTGTTGGATTTTTGTTGGTACCATTGATCCAACGGGGCAGCAAGCACTGACCCGTGACCCGTGGCACCTGGGCTGATGGTTCACCTGTCGAAGGAGCTCCTTGGCTCCGGGCGATATGAACACATGGAATATGTGGATTCACCCCATTGTTGCGTGATCATCCATCATCCAACCTGGAAGCCTTGTCCAAGTTGTAGTACTTATGGCCATTCACATATGAACCAGGCGAAAACATTAGAGCTCAAGCGTGCTGGAAACCACTCCAGGCTCCGCCCACATGTTTCCACAATCGCCTACACACGAATAGTGTGGCAGAATCCTTTGCCACTTGACTTGAGCCTCATGTCTCTTTCACAAAACCAGACCCATCAATATACAGTATACTGTCCCAATAAATAGATGAATAATATAAAACCGTCTAAATTTAATTAATCATCGTGACTAGTGAGCCAAAATACATGTTGCAATTTGCCAAGCTGCGATGCAGCACAATCTTCTCAGAAACAGCAGTGATGCCCGTCCCTGGGCCGAGAGTTCATCCATCTCCTGGCCGATGGCCGACGCTAGCCCTGGTGCGCGCAAAGGCAGGAACAGCACCTCAGTGAGGACGGTGAGTTGGGGGAGTTCCTCACCATACCCCCAGTGTATTAAGTATATTAAGTATCCTCACCATTTCCAACAATATAATACAATATAATATAATATGATATAATGCAATATGATAGAATACAATATAATACAATATAATATAATATAATATATAAAAATACAATATAATATATAAAAATACAATATAATATAATATATAATAATACAATATGATATAATACAATATGATATAATACAATATGATATAATATAATATAATATAATACAATATGATATAATGCAATATGATATAATACAATATGATATAATACAATATGATATAATACAATATGATATAATATAATATAATATAACATAACATAACATAAGATAATATAACATAAGATAATATAACATAAGATAATAAATATGTATGTGTATATGTATATATATGACAACTAATCTAATCTAAACATAATTGATAATTGATACAACAAATCAATATATAATTAAATATCAACATATATAAACATAATATATATTATATACCATATATATATATATACACATTATTATACTATACCGATCTGCAACGAACCACCGCGGGTGTGCAGGCCACAGCACCGTGCGGCCCGCTGCATGGGCTTGTGCCACCTCAGCTGGCAGCGCGGCCACATCTTGGCCGCTGAGCCTTGGTGGGGCAGTCATTTGATAACATGATACAGTGATACATATATATGTATATATATATATAACTGACATTCAATATATGATTATCTGATAAGGTTTATTCATTATATTTATATATATACATACATATAGCAATATACTATGTAACATATATAACAAGATAATAACATGATTTGTTTCTGTGTGTTTTTCAATATCTTGAGGTCATTATAAAATTCTGCATAACATAAGTGACATCCACGTGTGCACGTTTGATCTGTGAATAGCGGACCTCTTTGATACTTCTGCCAGCTGCCCACCGCTCTTGGTGTCGAGCCAAGTCGGAGTCACATAGCCCAGCTTTCCAAGTGGTCCAGCCACATCGAAGACAAAGGTGAATCCCTGGCACTACGACCACGAATTACGAATCACAGCACCCTGATCTCCCGAAGCAATGTTCAAAACAATTCAAAACCTAAATTTACCAAACATTCTGGTCGGTTCAGAAGGGGTTTGCCACAATGGGTCAAGAAAAAGGTCAGGATAATCCTGAAGAAACACGGTAATAGAATGGCAGCAAAAGAGAGTATAACCCCCTATTGCAACCAATCAACAGGGGTTTTGGTCACTGCTCCCTTCATCTCAATTGACCAGTCCTTGGAGAGGACGTGAGCGCGGTCGCTGACTGTGAAGACAGACTTGAAGCCAATGCCCTTGCCTCAAGAGCTTAAGAACTCAGTGCATAAGGCTAGTTTAGCTGCCAAACATGTGAATAGCGCACAGGTCCTGCAACAAAAAAATAACAAGTGGACAAAAAAGGTATCGCGCTGCAACGCTCATAGCCTTAATATTATCTCAAGTGCACGTCTTGATCCGCCCAATTCATGCCCAAGGTGCAGCCAATGGATCCTCCTGCAACCCCTGGAAGAGGCTTCTTCTTCGAAGACGCAGAGATATCACAAAGGGCTGTAACATCCCCTGAACCGTTCCAGAAAATGAAAGAAATACACACCATCACACTGGATGGGAATAAAAAAAATGGCCGCTGGCACTTGCACGGTGAAAGCCATTTTGGCTTTCAAAAAAAATTGCCATGAGAAAGGAGAGAAGTTGAAGATGGGGCTATGGGCATGAGATATAGTATGACAATGCAACATGATACAAAATCACACTCCCATCATTGAGAATCTACACAGCCAACGTTCATGCCGGCAAGTTTCTTTCAGTAAAACCAGCTTCATTGTTCTCCTCAGCCCAGCTGAGATTCCAACAAGACAGGCCCATCTGCATCCCTATCATCCCTAAGCACTGCGGTTGATCCAAAAACCGCCGAAAACACGAAACTCCACCTGATTTTGGCTGAATCCTGGCCAAACCGAAACCGAGCAGCACTGATGAAGTAGCCATGTGGAAATGCCACTGATGGAGGTCCCAGACGAAGACTCAAACGTGGCTCTGCAGACTCCTGGACGGTCATTCCTTTGACCACTTAGTACATAGCTGACATAGCTGTTGAGATCCATGACCCACTGGTTTCTTTGGTCTCTACATGTCTCTACCGAATGTTAAATTGACATAATGATTTTCACAGTTGTTTGTCCTCAACTGTGCAAGTTGGGGTGCGTGTTGATGTCACACCCGTTGCTGTGCGCATGGTTTGTGCCCCTTCAAGACATCTCCCCTGTAAACTCCTGTGGGCGGTCGCACGCGTGTGCATCCTCCGCATTCCTGGATTATCTTGGCTACTAAGCTCAAACTTAAACTTGGAAGGAAAAACAAAAATCATTCCAGATGTGCGATTTGACAACAACTGAGATTTATCTCAACATGGGAGGAGCACGTGCAGAAGCGAAGTCAAGATTCTGAATGATCTCGTAGAGAAAGTGGCATTCACTCTCATAGAGGTCGCTGGCCAGTCTTTCCACTGCAGCACATAAGCTGTCAGAAAGCTGCTGTACACCTTCGCGAACCTGAAGGATGCATGTAGCGTCTGCAGCAAGCGGCCAGGCATGGACGAGCATCATGCAGACTATTGAAAATGTGGGGACCCGCCTGTGTATATTATATATGTGTAATATATTATGTTATATTATATTATATTATATTATAATATATTATAATATATTATATTATATTATATTATATTATATATATATATATGTATGTACATTATATTATATATGATGTTATATCATATGTATTACATTATATCATATTACATTATCTATCTATCTATCTATCTATCTATCTATCTATCTATCTATCTATCTATCTATCTATCTATCTATCTATCTATCTATACATACATGGCAACGGGAAATCTCTTATGAATGGAGGTTTCAATGGGAAAATTCTGAATGGGGGTTTCCCATTGTCACGTTTGACTAGCGGAGCAATTTATGTCCCAGCGGCATGCTCCGGCAAGTCCTGACAGCCGCTGGCAATCAAGCGCCGCTGCCGCAAGTGGGCGATGAAGGCTGCCTGGTCGGAAGGATTGCACACCTGGGATGAGGACCAGGGGCATGCCGTGTCATCTTGGTTTCAAAAGACCCAATCAGAAATTTACCAATTAAGAAATCATTGAAAGTTCATGATTTCCCAGTGGATTCCATGGGCAAGTGCGGCCTCAGAGGACGCATCTCCAGTTTCTGTGCCACCAGCCATTTCACTGGAGCTTGCTGGCAGATGCTGTTTCTCCTGGCTCATCGGGACAGTTTTGCGTGGTGCCACCTGTTAAACCGCCCGAAACCCCAGCAGCACAGCACCATCAGCTGGCGCTTGACCGCCCTCCTGCTGCGCTTGCTGCGGTTGGGGAGTGAGACAAACCACCTGCACCTGTGGCAGAAAGCATGCAGCATATTGCAGCATCCAGGCCCATCACGGAACACACGCGCACCATCCCATATTGAAAAAGGATGAAAAAGGATGGAAACCCAATATCTCAAAATCACCGACCTACTCTTTATTCCAATATTATCCAATATTATCCAATATTTACCACATGTTACCACCAGTTCTAGTGGTTTATCATGGTTTATCTATGGAATCTATGGTTCCTCCATGGATAAACTCTGCCTCAGCCTCCTCCGCCCGGCGTTGCGCTTCGGACAGCTGGGCTTCCAAGGCCTCGATGCCTCAATTTGATGGTGGGAAAAATATGGAGAAATGGGAACTTCGCCATACCAAAAACCATACTTAACCACCATTTTTCATGGGATTTTTGAGGGATATAATCAGGATATGTAATATGTATATATATATAATGGATATATATATATATACGGATATATGTACCCTCAGGTAGTCAAACGTGGCAATTGAAAATTGAAAATCCCTCATCTATAGATGAGTTTCTCATTAAAACCTCCTTTTATAGTTCATAGCATTGCCACATTTGATTGCCGGAGGAGCATATTAAAATGCCTGGGATATCCTCTGGTAATGTTTACCAGTAGTACCGCACAAGGCGGTGGCGGAAGTTTCAAAAATAGGAAACCTATAGGAGAGGTTGGTTGTTGTGAATCAGGGATTGCAGAGCGAAGCCACTGATGGAGCGAAAGGTGATTGATCTCTCTCACTATTTCTCTCTCTTTCTCTGACTATCTACCTACCTACCTACCTACCTATCTATCTATCTATCTTTCTATCTATCTATCTATCTACCTATCTATCTATCTATCTATCATTCTATCTATCTATCTATCTATCTATCTAATCTAACCTAATCTAATCTAATCTAATCTTATCTTATCTTACCTTATCTATCTATCTATCTATCTATCTCCCTCTCTCTCCCTCTCTCTCCTTCATCTGTCTAGCTGTCTACCTGTCTATCTGTGGCGCAGTGTCATTGAGTGCAATGTAGTGTAGTGTAGTGTAGTGTGGTGTAGTGGAGTGTAGTGGAATGTAGTGTAGTGTAGTGTAATGTAGTGTAGTGTAGTGTAATTTAGTGTAGTGTAATTTAGTGTAGTGGAGTGTAGTGGAGTGTAGTGTAGTTGTAGTAGTTGTAGTTGTAGTAGTTGTAGTTGTAGTTGTAGTGTAGTGGAGTGTAGTGTAGTGTAAGTAGTGAAGTAGTGGTAGTGTGTAGTGTATGTAGTGTAGTGTAGTGGAGTGTAGTGCATGTAATGTAGTGAAGTGTAGTGTAATTTAGTGTGGTGGAGTGTAGTGTAGCGTGTAGTGTAATGTAGTGTAGTGTAGTGTAGTGTAATTTAGTGTAGTGGAGTGTAGTGGAGTGTAGTTGTATAGTTGTAGTTGTAGTTGTAGTGTAGTGGAGTGGAGTGTAGTGTATGTAATGTAGTGAAGTGTAGTGTAGTGTGGTGGAGTGTAGTGTAGTGTAATGTAGTGTAGCGGAGTGTAGTGCGTAATTTAGTGTAGTGGAGTGTAGTTGTGTAGTTGTAGTGTAGTGGAGTGTAGTGCAGTGTAATGTAGTGAAGTGTAGTGAAGTGTAGTGTAATTTAGTGTGGTGGAGTGTAGTGTAGTGTAGTGGAGTGTAGTGTAATTTAGTGTAGTGTAGTGTAGTGTAATTTAGTGTAGTGGAGTGTAGTGGAGTGTAGTGGAGTGTAGTGGAGTGTAGTGGAGTGTAGTGGAGTGTAGTTGTGTAGTTGTAGTTGTAGTGTAGTGGAGTGTAGTGTAGTGTCATGTAGTGTAGTGTAGTGGAGTGTAGTGTAGTGTAATGTAGTGTAGTGAAGCGAAGCGAAGCGACATCTGAGCCTCCAAAAGTGGTCCGAACCCCTGGTGTTTTGTACATTTTCACTTCGAAATGTGCTTCGCGCCACAACGGCGTGCACTTTTTCGACATCGCAACTTCCAAAAGTGGTCCGAGAATGGTGTGTTTTGTACATTTTGACTTGGAAATGTGCTTCACGCCACAACGGCGTGCACTTTTTCGACATCTCAACTTCCAAAAGTGGTCCGAACCTGGTGTGCTTTGTACATTTTGACTTGGAAATGTGCTTCGCGCCACAACGGGGTGCACTTTTTCGACATCTCAACTTCCAAAAGTGGTCCGAACCCCTGGTGTTTTGTACATTTTGACTTGGAAATGTGCTTCGCGCCACAACGGCGTGCACTTTTTTGACATCTCAACTTCCAAAAGTGGTCCGAGACCGCCAGTTTTTAACACTTTTGACTTCGAAATGTGCTTCGCGCCACAACGGCGTGCAATTTTTCATCGCTCCTGTGGCCAGCTGGCTCCGCACCCGCCGCTTTAGCGAGCCTACTTTTCGACCCTTCGGAGCCACAAATCATTGGAAAAACACAGTGTTTCGCGACTTTCCTACCTTTTCGCGCATCTGCATCTTCTGTCTTCTTACTCTTTCTCTTCTGATCTTCTCTTTTCTAATCTTCCTCTTCTCTCTGCCTCTGCCCTGCTCTGCTTTTCATCTCTCCATATTGTCGGAAGTTTGACTTCTAAACTTCCTTCGAATATAATTAATTATAGACATGGAAATGAGCCATGAAAGTAGACGGTTTACATCGAATATCCCCAGTTAGTAGGACTATATTACACTTACACATTGATTGACATGTTATTCATTACCATAATATAATTACCATTCATATGATATATGATTAATAAATGAATGGGTATTTCCATCATTATATCAATATTAATGGGATGATATATATGACTATGTATATATAATATAAATATATGTATCAATAATAAAGTTCTATCAAATCTATCATTAATATATACAGTATATATATGTATATATATGTGTGTGTGTGTGATATCCCATGAATATCCCATGATTTCCATGGCGCCATCGGGGACGCTCTGCTGCCGAGGTCACTGGCTTCCAACTCCTGCCGCTCGCGTTGCCTGGTCTCCTGTAAGGCAGCCAGCCTCGGCTGAGGTGTACCAGTAAATCAACAAAGTTACTTCATATTAATGGATATTAATGGATGTTAATGGTAAATCAATCAGATAAATCATATCAAAGTTATATAAAGTTATATCTGAACTGGAAAACCCACTAGAGATTGTAGATCATTGTGGAAAACCCTCTAACGTCGGACTAAACAAAAATGATCGGTTTCTCAGTTAATCAGGTGGTCACCTCCCCCCTCATCCATTGTTATCCCCTGCAGCTAAGGCGCTGCCGCCTCAGAGCAGCGTTGTCCGCTTGCTCCATCCTAAAGGCCCCGCGATGGATCAATGGATCAATGGATCAAAACCCGCGTCAAACCATGTTGGATTGCTACGGGGTAGCTGGTATATCATCAATGGATTTCATCCAAAAAGAAAAATACACATAAGATAACTGCAATGACATAATGGTATCACATAGCTTTCAATGGTTTTGGCATGTTTTGACCCATCCTTAAATCATTGTCCCAGCAAGAAGTTAACTATGCATCAACTATGAACCATCAGTCCCTAATTGCACCCAGCATGGAGGCTCCAGGTCAAAAAATAAAATCCAACATAGAAAAGTCAAGAGCTCGGCCGCAAACAGCCCGGCCCGATGAATGTTGTTCATTGCCTGACTAACCATCCAATTTTTGGTCTACTTATTTATTGATTGGCCGCGAGTATGGTTGCTATACGTAGTCATAGCACGTCATAGCACATCAAAACCATCCATTTCTGGATCTTCGTGATCCTCCACTTACAACAACTATATAACTCCATCCATGTATGATGATAAAACATACCGTATCCGATCACTGAAAGGCAACAACTATGGTTATGGTTGATTATTCTGACTCATGTATCATCATACAAATCCAATGCCCAAAAACACCAGAATAACTACTTGATTCAATACCAGTAACAACTATTATCAGCAATAATCATCCACAACACCAAACACAGAAAATAAAAATGAAATATGACTATGACTATATCAACTCGTAGTCTTCACTAATCTAGCAACTAATTGGCTTACTAAAAATATATCTAATAGTTTATGATGTTTTTTGAAACTAAACACATATAAATCATATAAACACATCATCCACCATACCAGTAGATGTCACCAGATTCCGCCGTGGCGCTCTTCCTCCTTTGTTTGGTGGATGGCCGCCATGGCCTTCTGCCTGGCGCGCGCCACTGCCAGGCCGCCCAGGCTCTCGGCCGCAGAGAGCTGCGCCGTGCTGGGCAACGCCGGCGCCGTTGCCTCGACGGCCTCGGCCTGGACAAAGTGCCCAAAAATTGGATAAATATGATATGAATTGATATGATGATGCCGCTTATGCATGAATAAGATCGAATAAGTAGGATTGTAGAGATTCTGACAGAGATTCTCCAATTTCTATGTCTATTGGGCCCAATCTCTTCATTTGTCAATGGTTCGACTACATGTTCATGAATGGAGGGATCGTTGTTTGGTGGTTACAGTATGTTACAGTACCATTGGACCAATGGTAAACAAATATGTGGGGCGTGAACAATCAATTGACGGAGAGATTTACCAGAAATAAATGAGGTGTTCGTGAAGAAATGACGAATTGAGCATCAACATTCCGAAACAAAAACACAGTGATGGATATGAGTTGATATGAGATAGGTCCTGCTGGATGCAAGGCTCATCAAGTCTCCAGGTATCCAAGATACCAATTGTTTGTGACCCCCAGGCACGTGTTTTCTTCATTATTCTTCCAAAGGAAATCACAAGTTTACAAATCAAAATAGATGCAATTTTGTAAAGATTAAACATTATAGTGACGGACAATCACTTAGAACGTAAATTTTTTTCCAATTTTTTTTCGTACTTAGAACGTAGCAAAATTTCATCACTTAGAACGTAGGGAAAATTCATCACTTAGAACGTCAAAATATCACTTAGGCCCATTTATCACTTAGAACGTAAACCAACACTTAGAACGTGCTAAGTGATTGTCCGCCACTATAATTATGAACAATTACCATATGATATGTATATATACTTGTATATATACTTGTATATATATATATATATCACCAATACATGTCTATTTGGTCCCTGAGTGGCTTCGCTGAGTGCGGCAACATGATTTCACAAGCCTTTCCACTATCATCAGTGACCTAGACACGTTCTAAGTGTTAAATCCCCGGTACGTTCTAAGTGATGAATCTTGATATTTGGACGTTCTAAGTGTATGGTTTTCGACGTTCTAAGTGCAAGGCTTAGAACGTAAAAAAAGCAGTAATATTCAGATTTTTTTTTCCAAAATACGTTCTAAGTGATTGTCCGTCACTATATATGTTTGTTTGACATGACATCCGGCATAACATGACATAACATGACATAACATGACATAACATGACATAACATGACATACCTGCTTACATCACACTTGGGGCGCACCTGAGACTGCGCCAGCAAGACTTCCAAGGCTTCAACGGCGGGACCATCCTTGGTGGCTGGCGACTTTGGTCACCAAATTTCCCAGTGCGACGCAGAAACGAATTCGTGACTTAGAATATCTTATGATTCAATCAACCTTTTAGGGATGTTTGGCTATTTTTAGAAATTCATTACCATTGAAGGCAGAGTTTGCACCCCTCCCTGGAGCGACTTTTCTGCAGTGACACCAGTCAAACGCAGCCTTTGGCGCGCTGAATCGGCATGTGCCTGTGCTCCAAATCGGAGCCCACCCAATTTCTATGTGAAAATCATGGAAAATCCATGAAAATCCACCAGGATCTGCTAAGGCTATCTAAGGCTTGAAGAGATGTACCCTTTTTCAATCTTTTTCAACCAGCCCTGAATTTTGCCCGTCAAGGAGCAGATAAATTGCGCATGTTCTACGTTAAATTTCTGGAATTCGTATATATTGATGATAGGGAATCAACCAGCAGTCTCACTGGAACATACCCACTAAATCCGGCATCTTCATCCCCAGCTCAGGTTTCTTTTGGGTTGGAGTTGGGTGGACCCCAAAGTGGAGGATCTGGACAGGCACCTCGTCAAAACCGACCCCATTTATAGAGTCCAGCTAATGAATAATGCGGTAAACCCAGAAATGACATCATTATATATATATATATATATATGTGTGTGTGTGTATTTATTCATTTATCTAGTTATTTATTTATTTATAGATTTAGATTTAGATAGAACTGGCTGAGCCCAAATGAAGTTTTTGGTAAATCCGTGTGAATTGTGGTAAACCTCATTATTCAGGTTGTCAAATCCAAGAATGTCAGGAGCGCGCAGGGCGTGCAATTACCACTGCAGCGCACGGCAGTGTGGCCCCAATGCCAGGCTACAACCCAACGCCAGGCGTCAGTGGCCCGCAACCAAACAGGATAAGCACATGTGTATATATATATATATATATCACACACACACAGAGACATACGGACAGACAGGCAGACAGACAGACATACCTACATACATACATACCTACATACATACTTACCTACATACATTCCATACATACCTACATACATACCTACATACCTACATACATACCATACCATAACATACCACAACATACCATAACATTACATTACCATACCATACCATACATTACATTACAGACATTACACACATTACATACATTACACACTTTACACACTTTACATACATTACACACATTACACAAATTACATACATTACATACTTTACATACTTTACATATGCAGATGTGTATGTCTATATTAATATGTGTATATATATACTTATTTAGTTAGTTAGTTAGTTAGTGAGTGAGTGAGTTAGTTAGTTAGTTAGTTATATAGTTAGTTTTATTGTACGTTACACTGTTTAAATATGTTTCAAGGATTTAAGTGAATTTAATTTGTCAAGTGCCAATCAGCTCCTTCAGCTCCCAGGACGCAGCTGCTGAATCAACGTGGATGACGTGCCCCTCCTCGCACCTGGGACAGGGTGCCAAAAAAAAATCTACAGTAGCACCCATCAATCTACGGTCACTTCAATCATGATAGGTCTGTTTATATATTATATTTATATTATAGCTATATTATAGTTATATTATAGTTACGCGCAAACACCCCGATTCGCCCACACCCCTTCTATGCTGTACACTTGGGGATATCAAACGTTAGACTTTACATTCATTTGGGAAGATCAACAAGGGATAACAAGGGTATCTAGGGAATATAAATTTCCCACCCCCGTTAAACTTCTACATTCATTGACGATCTTCAATAAGGTTTACTTCTCCCACCTCCGTTAAACTTCTACATTCATTGAAGATCTTCAATAAGGGTTTAATTCTTCCACCCCCGTTAAACTTCTACATTCATTGAAGATCTTCAAGAAGGGTTTAATTCTCCCACCTCAGTTAAACTTCTACATTCACTGAAGATCTTCAATAAGGGTTTATTTCTCACCCCCGTTAAACTTCTACATCCATTGAAGATCTTCAAGAAGGGTGTAATTCTCCCACCTCCGTTAGACTTCTACATTCATTGAAGATCTTCAATAAGGGTTTATTTCTCCCACCCCCGGTAAACTTCTACATTCATTGAAGATCTTCAATAAGGGTTTATTTCTCCCACCCCCGTTAAACTTCTACATTCATTGAAGATCTTCAATAAGGGTTTAATTCTCCCACCCCCGTTAAACTTCTACATTCATTGAAGATCTTCAATAAGGGTTTGATGATGATGATGATGATGATGACGATGATGATGATGATGATGATGATGATGATGATGTGTAAGAGACTCGCACAGGTCCCTATGCTGTGCGTGCCGATATACAACATGAAGTTAGCCATGATGCAAAAAAACTCCCATTTGTACCACTTTTTGAGCACATACGAAAATGGCCGCCCACAAGCGCGGGCAAATCGAGGTGTTTGCCCGTATAGTTATATTATAGTTTTATTGTAGTTATATTATAGTTATGTTATAGTTATATTATAGCTATATTATAGTTATATTATAGTTATATTATGGTTATATTATAGTTATATAAGTTATATAGATATATGTCCATTTAAAGTAACCTGCAGTGGTTGTCAACAGTACTGCTGCTGAAATTGCTTTGATTTTTTGCTGGTAGAGCCTCGCACAAGAAAGTTGGACACCCCATAGTCCTCCCATTCGGTCACACTATCTCTATCTTGCATAATGCCGCACTAGGGACATCCAGTGTTACTATTGGCGGAAAAAGAACTGATCTCGGCTCGATCTTTTCCAGCAAATGTCCGCTCGGGTAAGCTTATCATTGTCATGTTGGATTCTCGCGGATTCTCGCGGATTCCGCCACAACACAATTTGCGTCAACCGGCAAGCAGCTTCAGCAAACTCACAGCTCTTGCGCAAAGTAAGGCCTTGTGTGAATCTTTGAGGAGTTCAAGTAACCTGCACGAAATTTGCAGTCCTTTGGCTCCTTGGTGTCCATACCAAGTCTTGAGTCGGGATGAGCCAAGACCTGTGGAGACCTCCGGTTGGCATCTTGGAATCTTGGAGCCACTTTTGAGTTGTCAGACTTCGTGTGCTGAGTCAAGTGCTCAGGGATTGGCGGAAGCTGGTTAGAACCCTGGCCTCTGCCTCAAGCAGCAAGCTGTTGGCCGGTGGCTGGCTCTCAGGTGGCACCTCTGTATAGCTGCCATATTGAGCTCTCAAGGAGCCGTAGATTTTCCAGTACCCCCTGGCATCCCGTAGGCACCCGATTGCATGCACACGTGCGCAGCTTCGGCCTTGCCTCCCGTTTTCGAGATTAGATTCAATCTTCAGGAGAAGTGTCAGTAGCCATGCTACCGGACAATGTTCAGCTACTTCTTCATGATGAGACATGATGTGGTTTTGCATCGGGATCAATAGTTCTGCATGGAAAGTACCAGAGCGGAAGTAATCCTCGACATGATTCATCCAGGTTGCCAGGTCATCTGTACAAAGATCTGGACCTAGCGGAAACGGGAAGCCATCAAACTGTTCTTTTAAGAGCAAAACGTCTTGAAATGCAGCTGCAAAGGGCAAATCTTCAACCAACGAGCCGGCGTAGGTGTAATCTTCACAAGGTTGTTCCCCATTCGGCCCAAAGCACACTTCATGGAGGTCAGCATATACAAGCATACAGTGGGCCGAAAAGATCAACAAAAGATGGCAAGCAGAAACACGGACAAGGGATTGCTCTGAAATCATTGCGAGTTCGGTTTGACGACAAAACAGCTGAACCATGCACATGTGGATTGGCGTTGAAATTTTGCACATTTTGAGCCAATATCATCAATTACCAATGAAAATTCCTAGCCAACTTCAAGCATCAAATATCGTCAAATAATATTGGGCCAACTGTCTCCACCCAACTTTTCGAGATAGCCTTCACGAACAGAATCTGTTCCAAAACCCTACGGATCCCTACGGCTCCTGCAAGGCATTGACCACAAAATTGGTGATCTTTAAATCCACTGATCTCAGATCGAATGGCCACCTGACAAAACAAAACTCATGGTTTTGCAGAATGCAAGTGACCGCCCACTCCCCCAGGCAGCTACATCAATCACAGTATGGCGTTCCCAATCGTTCCCATGTCCATTTGTGGTCCCCACCCTGGAACAACTAAGGCAGTGGCACAATGATGGTGATGTAGATGAGGTAGAAAACCAGATATATAGGCATGGCTGACTTTCTCTAAGACCGGCCGGGCATTTGCGGGCCAGTTCCCTGCCTGGCATCACATCATGCGCGGATGATGTGGAGTCATGCAGAGATCACGGGAACATTCAAAGAGCTACAGAATCGGAGACAAATGGCATGACAAATGGCATGACAAATGGCATGACAAATGGCATCAGATTGCGCAGACCAGATACAAATGTGACGAATGAATGTGACTTCGTACAATGTGTACATCGCTCGGTACGCTGTGCCGTAGCGATTCCAAACCCACATTCGATCGTCGAAGTTTTGCGGTTTATCCTCACCAGGTGAGTCACAAGTCTTCCGCCAAACATGGTTCCAATCCAGTCTACTCAGTCTACTCAGTCTAGTCTACTGCTCCACTCAAAGAACAAATGGTGATGACCGAGATGTCTGTGACGCCAAGCAGCGGTGATGAAGTCTTGCGGATGGCAAAAAACAGTAGCAAGCTTTCACCAGCATCCGAAGTCCGCGGAAGAACCTGCAGAAAATGAAGTCATGTTATGTCATGTTACCAGTTACTAATGTTACTTAAAAGTTTGACTCCAGGGTCTTTTTTCAATCGCATTGTGTGACCTGTTTGGCAACTCAAATCGTTTGAGCAAAGCACGTCCTGCCTGAAGGTGCGAACCAAACAGATGGCACGCAGTGACTTCAAGGCCCTCACCATTCCTTGCCAAAAGTCACGAGCCAAGATCAAGATGATCAAGGACTCAAAATGAACTACTTTCGTGTAAATCAACTAAGGAAAAACTACGCTTCTTTATCTTTCTTTAGGAAAATGATCTACCATAGTGGTGGGGTTTCCAGCTAATTTGCTGTAGGCTATTGCACATTACTGTAATCCCCAAAACCTCCGCGTGCCCTTACTGCCCTGCGCAGCTGAGGGTCTGAGCATCACAATGCTCTGCCGGTCTTGCCCATTGGACAATGGCAAAATGATGAACATATCCACCAAGCCGGCGACGACCAGCACAGAATCAAACCAATTGGCTGCATCGTAAACAAATGTTCGTCGTTAAATGCCGATTCGCATCAGCAACTCGGCTAGGATAACAAAGACAAAGACACCATCCTTGGCAGGTTTGGCAGCATGCCAAGGCACCCGGCAAGCTGAGCACCATCAACACGTTCACAAAATCTGTCACAATCGGCTTTTCAATGCGCACTCCGGCAAGCATATCCAAGCATGTCCAAGCATATCCAAGCATCTAAAGTTTTAAAAACTGGAGACACATCATTGAGCCTTGGCCCGTGGCCCCAAGTAGATCCAAGTAGCGCACCAACTGCTTTGGCCTGGCCGCATATGCCTGCACCATCAGCAGCCAAGTGTGAGGTGATTCCCCCAACTAACCATCACAATATAACCATCAGATAACCATCATAGGAACCCTCATTTGTAACTACTGTATATGATGTCCTTACGCCGGTACGAGGTCGCGAACCATTTTCCCACACCACAGCCTTCGATCTCTAGCTCCACCAGCATCACGAAGGAGTTCAACAAGACCAAGGCTCCTGCCAGAACGTCGGTGTAGGCCTTGCCACGGTCGGAGATGCCTGCGAGAAAGCGATCCAAAGATATGGAAAGCAGGGAAGTAACATGAAGTAACCACACTTCATGGTCCAGCCTGGTCTGGTGAAGATCTGATGTGCATATTGCATCATTGCATCATATTGCATCATATTGCCTCCCATTCCTCCCAGCCTCCATAGAGATTAAGATTGTCAGCCGTGGCTTCAGACTTGGCCGTGGTCATGGTGGTCATGGTGGTCATGGTCGAGTGCCTAGGCGCCGTCGTCATGGGCCCACGGGCATCCATGCGAGACTGCAATCTCTGCGTCGTGTCGGCAAAATCACCTTGACGCCTACGTCACGTTGCATTTTTTGCGCTTAGCTAAGGCGGTGCCCAAATATGCCAATATCACCTTTCTGAACCATGCCTTAAACTTCTTAAACAAATATGCTGTATTTTGCAATGTTTCCAGCCTTAAGCTACTGTAAAATCATGTAAAATCATCGAGACCGTAAAATTGCAAAGGAATCATAATTAGATTAACCAAACCCTCAAAAAAAACTAAAATCAACCACAGGCCCTTAGTCCCCTCAAACAAACCCTCAATAAACCCAAAAACAACCACGAGTAGAGAAAGAAACTCAAGCAAACCGGAATATAAGCCCTAAACCAATCGCAAAGAAACCCGAAATTAAACCTAAGTAAACCCTGAACCAAACCTAAACAACGCCTAAACCAACCCCAAAAGTAGCTTCACTAAACCGGCGAGGAAACTTTGGGCAAACGTCCGGTTGGGAGGGATGTACGTATATGTACTTATTTATTTGTGCATTTCTTGATTCATGCATTCATTTATTCATAATTCATGTTCATATAATATACATGCATGTCTATATCTACATCTTTATGCAAGATATTAAATGATTATATTTATATATACAGTCTCTATATACATATATGCAGCATATAATATAATTATACGTAAAATTATACAGCATATACAAGTATCACATCGGTCATTGTTTATACTATTTAGATTACATATAGCAACGCTATATAAAAGTTATAGAAGGATATAATATAGAAAAGTTGTAAATCTGGAAAATATGGGGGAAAACATCATCTATACCATCCTGGAATCACTGTTCTATCTTTTTGGGAGTTGATGATGATGATGATGGATTCGATGGATTCGATGGATGGTTTTGGAGATTTCCCATTGCCATGTTTGATGACCGGAGGGTTGGTGGTATCCATGAGAAAACTACAAAAATGGAGGTAATGGTGGACTTCATTGCCATGTTTCATTACTGGCGGATAAGCGCAATCATTGAAAAAAGAACATGTTGTCCCTTCTGAATAATCCATGGGAACTTGAAACTGAAAGAACTGACACCACCTCTCGCAGAACTGCAACAGTAATAACAGTAGATTGCTTGTGGGAAGTCACGGGTCCTCCGAAAGGATGCGTGCATACAGGCACGGCCCATGGCCGCATGATGCTCCAGCTGAAGCACGGCCTCTCGGATGGCCATGGGAAATCGCAGGGTAAAATCAGCAGTTTCCTGGTGGAAATGTCATAGCTGTCATAGGGCCCATAGGCTGGCACATAGGGCAATAGAGTAACCCTGGATCATCCCTGGTTTGTGGTTTGTAAGCTGGTAAGTTATATATACACGTAGCTCCCATCTTGGGATATCATGCATAACCCCAGCTACTAACCAATTGAATTGATTATATAAATACTATAATCCAGATGGTCCTCCAAATGGTGATGATGGTGATGCATAAGCCCCAGGATTTGTTGACATGTAGAGCCCCACTCCACAATAGGCTGATTCTGCCACAGAAACTAGCCGGCTAGCATCCACTGAGTCGCACCCTCCACCAAACAAAGCTGGTGATGGAAAATCACTAATCACTAACTACCCAAAATCATTTGAACAAATCATCATGTTCAATCACCATCAACTGATTGGTGGATTCTTCCAGTAAAATAGACATTCTCCCATGATATAAACATCCGGCATTGATCAAACTGACTTTTGGAGCACTCCTTACCTGCAACAGTTCTTCGATGCGCCCCTCCCACACCGTCGCTTTGGCATGTCCCGCGTTGGCCACGGGCGCAGAACGGCAGGAGTTTGAGCCCAGATCTGCACCATCAGGTCAGGCATCCTTCCGACTATCCGGGTGAGAATGGAAAAGGGATACATGTATGATACATGTATATGGACGTATAATAATACACAAATCTTGCTTCAAGTTTGTTATAGTATCCCAGAAATAGTTCGGTATCTATGATTGTCCGCAGTTTGGATTTACTGCGGATCAAATCCCACTTTGCTATAACCAGTTGGGATTAAATATGTATCCCCAGTTGGTTACATGTATATATATATATATAATTTTTAAAAAAATCCCCAAGAAGTCAGTCAGAAAAGTAAAATCACATAGCCTACTAAAATAATGGTAAATTGCTGTAAGTTACTTGTCGATCTTTTTTCGGGTGGGTACTATTCGACTATATTGACTCCACAACTCTCTTGACAGCACTTCGCCAACGCCAAGGCTGCCAAGGCTCAACTGCTTCCTCGCCCTCCAGTAGCAATTCCTTGGCCCCATCGATGGCAGCCCGAAGACCTCCTGAGCGATTTTTGATTGGAAATTGATGGTGAAACATGGTGAAATTGGGTGCAATAGTGGTGAAATAGCGGTGACATCTAGTAAAACCGGGTGCAAGTGCAACGTGATGGAAATCCTATCCCCTTGGTCCCTAATGGGCCACTGGTTTCCTGTCAGTATTTCGTTCAACCACCTTGAGTTTCACTGGCTTGATCATCCATCAGTGCCATCAATGCTTTTTCGCACGCACACGCAGTTAGAGATCTGAGAAGCACGACATCTTCAATCATTTTCATCCAATGTGCAGAAAACAGGATCCTGTTGGTCCCCTTGCCCTACCAGATGGACATCATGGACCAG